ATCACAAGCAGCAGTTTTCAACTCAGGGTCATTGATACGATAGTTTTCAAGTGAATCTCTTAAACAGTCCTTGAAGTTCTTATTTGGTTTATGTTGGGGTCAAGTGCCGTAAAGCAACTCGCCGTAGAGCATTTGTTTGGGTATTCTGCTGTCATCAAAGCGAATTAACATGGCCTACTGATGCTGATTGTAATGATCTTTTCGAGGACGACACGGTCTGACATATGAGATACTCAGTGGATACCAAGAATCGATTTTAAACATCGTGGCGGAATCTCTTCAGAGCGTCTCAATGTCTGCCGTACACAACCCATGTCTCACAGGTATACAGAAGGTACGTTAGCGCACAGGCATTGTAGACTTCTATATTTTGCACTACTTACGTCCTTTTCTTTTTTAGATCAGACTCGATGTTTTCGAGCTGCAAAAGCATCATCTGCCTTCTTCACATGGGTAGATATTTCATTGTCAAGAATGCAGTGTCTGCTTATAGTGATCTCAAGGTAAGTGGATTTTGTTACTACCTTGAGATTGTGGCCATCCAGAAATATTGATGGTTCGACGTAAGGTGAACCTGGAGTACAAGCATAAACATTGTCTTGTTCAGACTGATAGTGAGGTCGAAAACAGAAACAAGAAAAATTATCCGTCATAGAGCACATTTCCTGTTCTGTTTGGGTGAGTGATTTGATTGTTTAACGGCATACCAACTCATATATCATTTCATTTTTTAATTTTCTCGGGAGCTTTGAAGTAATAAAAATATGATATATGTTATTCTGTTTTCACAATTGAATACATGTGCATATATATGTGTGGCTATAATTTCTAGAGGTGATGTTAAGTGTGTTTTATGTTTGTAATTTTGTTGAAGTTATATTTTGGAATACAATTTGATTTCTTTAAGAAATTGTAGGATATTATATGGACTAATATCATGAAATAGTTCCTACATGTTGGTTCTTTGGATGACTGATTTTGCTTGGCGGCATATGGGTTATTTAATGCCGAAATCTAAATATTTTATACGTCATTTTATGCTTTGAACTACATATATTTTTTACATAATGTTATACGTTAAGAGTAACGGTATGTTTTTTAAATATATATTTTGTAGATTATAAAATGCACTATAAAATGCATTTTTTTAATTTTTGCATTGATTGTCATTTGCTATAAAATGTATTGTTGGTTATTTTATTATGATTGGGCGAACAAGTCATACACATCGGCATACAGAATATCTTGCAAAAGAGCTTGGAATGTCTTAGATTTAGCAGAGAAGCATCGGATGTTGAATCGCTTACTAGTACGATATCGAATATAATATATATATATATATATATATATAGTAGCGTCCAAAACTAAGGGACAAAATTCTAAAACCTAATATTTGTTAGAAATAACAACTGTGAAAAGCTGAAATTTTGACAACTGGTAGTCGTTATCATCCATAATAACATACTAAAATTTGAATCATTTGCAAAGGATAGAAAAAGAATTATAACAATTATTTATTTATTTCCAAAAGTAAGGGACAAAATTGAGAAAAACAATGTAAACAGTATGCTATATTCAAATTTTTTGATTTCCTCTAAAGAATAAGTCTTACTTAGTCATTTGTAAACGTTGCATCAGCCGGCACCATGGCAAAACGCCAAAAACTTGATTACTCTGTGAGACAAGCTATTGTGAAGCTACACAAGGAAAAGCACACCATTAGAGATTTCAGAGAAAGTGAAACGTTCCAAGAGTGTTGTAGGCAGGATTGTTAAATCCTACAATGATACTGGCAAAATAGTTAGTGCTTTTAAAACCGGATGACCCCGCAAAACTTCGGCAAGAGAAGATCGAATAATGCAGCGTATGTCATTAAAGGACCATTTTAAGTCTTGCGCAGAAATTAAAAGGGTTATGAATAGTACCTCATGTGTTAATGTGTCAAGACAGACTGTTTCTAGACGACTGCAAAAAATAGGGCTGTTTAATCGAACCCCAGGGAAGAAACCACTTGTTAGTTCGAAGAATAAGAAGAAGAGATTAGAGTTTGCAAACAGGTATGTAATTTGGACATATGAAAATTGGGCAAAAGTATTTTTCAGTGATGAAAGCAAGTTTAATTTATTTGGAAATGATGGAAAAAACAATGTAAAGAGACGTATTGGTGAAATATTAAGTGCAAAGTGTACTAAGAAAACTGTCAAGGTTGGGGGCGGAAGCGTCATGGTATTTGGAATGTTTTCTAGCCAAGGTACAACGCCTCTTGTCTGGTTACAAACTCGTGTAAACGCGCAGAACTATAAAAACATTGTTCAAGATCATGTTGTGCCAATCATACAGAATTCAGGTAATTCAAGATAATGCCCCATGTCACAAGGCAAAGGTGGTAATGAGTTACCTTAGCGAGCAAGATTTGGAAATTATGGATTGGCCACCGCAAAGTCCAATAGAAAATCTTTGGAAGACCTTAGGAGTGAAAGTTATGGAAAGAAATCCCACTAACACGGAGGATTTGTGGGTGAAGCTTCAAGAAGAATGGTCTAAAATTAGTATCGAGGATTGTCAAGAACTGATTCGTTCTTGTAGTCGAAGATGTGCAGCTGTCATTGAGAGCAAGGGCTCATTTACTAAATATTGATTGTACATGTATTTTTATTGTTTTTTTGCCGTTTACATTGTTTTTCTCAATTTTGTCCCTTACTTTTGGACGTTCTAAATTTGAAAATAAATAGATAATTGTTATAATTCTTTTTCTATCCTTTGCAAATGATTCCAATTTTAGTATGTTATTATGGATGATAACGACTACCAGTTGTCAAAATTTCAGCTTTTTTCACAGTTGTCATTTCTAACAAATATTAGGTTTTAAAATTTTGTCCCTTAGTTTTGGACGCTACTATATATATATATATATATATATATATATATATATATATATATATATATATATATATATATATATATGTCATTCTCAGTGCTGTTTCGCTGTATCACATCTCCTCATTGCGACTAGACAACTGAATGCCTCAAGCCCGATTTGGTGTCAGCCAGAATTTCTACCACTGAGCCATCTTCACTCGACAGAACGAATCAGTCAAATCTAGCGTATTGTTTTTACAAACGTAAATAAACGCCGAGCAGCGAAAGTGCTCCATTCATTTTACTGAAGAGCTTCGCATTTACGGAGGTGGCCGTTGTTTTTAGAATTAGCTTGTCATTCAACAGTGCTCAGCTGAAAAACTACGAGGTCGCATTTCTTGACAAACATTCCATATCTTGATGGGTTCTGAAAGTAAATGACCAACGTTAACAGATGTCTCCAAATCACTGGACGATAGCTAGGAATGCCTGACGTAATTTCTTCCGAGTCTGAGAAGGGTTATTCGTAATTTGGAAAAGTCTGTTGTCTTTAATAACATTTGACTTTTATATAAACACACACACACACACACACACACACACACACACACACACACACACATATATATATATGTATTGGTCCACTTTAGTAGGTAAGTTTTTTTTATATCATAACAAATCTTTGCTTTCCCTAATTCTTTTAATCTTTTTATGTGTTAAGTGAAACGATAAAATAAATTGACTTTCAAATATACAAAACGGACTCTGATGTTTAGTCATTGAAATACTGATTTTGAAAAGAGGACTTGGCTAAGAAACTTTTAGTATGCGAATCGATTGTAATCAGAAGAGCGCATACAGACGCAGACACAGATATGTGAAGTTGCTTGTGCCATTCTCAATATCGCGTGATGTTTGAGGGTGTAAACTTTTGCGTTCATTTGTTTGCTATTTTATCATTGCAAACTTTACCATGGTCTGTTAAAGTTATAGCATTGTTGTTGTTCTTGTACTTCTTCTTCTTCTTCTTATTATTATTATTATTAACTGAGGCCACGTCAAACAACGGAAGCACGTGTACTTTTACGGAAAGAAATATATAAACAAACTGAAGGGAAAGGGAATATCAGAATAATATTTAATGGCAGAAGGAAAACAGGTAATAGAAAAGAAAAGATTGAAGATAAACTATTAGGAGATGCCTACCGTGGAGTCGAGATAGCGAAGAACAAAGTAACCAAACTGGTAGGATATTGAGTCGAGAAAAAAAATACTATAAAGAGGTCAGGCTCGTCGCTAGAGGGTTTTGTATTATGTCGGCTGCGTTAAAGAATCTATGTGAATACTGTTAATCAGTTTAGGCCAACAATAACTGGTTACCAGTTTAGAAAATTATTCATAAATAAAACAGAACAATTTTTTTTTTTAATTTAAAAGAAATGATTTTTTTTGTTGGCCATTACGTCTGATGAAGAGTGAAATCGTATCAAGCGCTGGAAATGTGTTCGATGAATTATGTCATAAGACTTCTTCGTCTTTCAAAACGGAGGCGATCATAGCTCTTCACAATTTCCTGTACTTCGTACCTCTTAATATTTTTTTTATTTTTTTGTTATTTCTCCTAAAACTTGTTCCGCCATCCATTTATTCAAGTTCCCTTTGTTTTATGCGTTGTTTTCCTCTGTTCATCTTGCCTCCACTCTGTCCTGTGAGTATCAGATTTTCCAAGCCATCCTTCCTCATTATATGCCCTAGAAATTTCAACAGTCTCTTCCTGATGTTGAATATAAATTTGCTTTTTCTTTCCATTTTCTCTAAAACTTTGTTGTTGCTCACATGTTCGGTCCATGGTAGTCTCAGCATCCTTCTGTAGAACTACATCTCTGGGGTTTTATGTGAAGAGATTCTCCAGTATTTACTACCATAAAGGAGGACTGATATGATGTAAAAGTTCAGTACTCTTTTCTATGTTTTAACGTTATTTTTCTGTTTCTTAATACATTGCTTAACTTTTGGAAAGCCACGTTCGCAATCCCAATGAGCATTCGAACACTAAAATTAATATGTATCATTTTCAGTGTTCAGGGAAGTGATTTTCGCGGTATCGGCTGAACCCTTTTGGTGACGGGCCTGAAGGAGGTTTAGTAAAAAAAAACAATCAGAAAGAATAAACCATCAGAGTAATAAACAGACGGAAAAAGTGTAATAGTAGTAGTTTGTGACAGATAGAAAGAGAAAGAGAGAGCTAGAGAGAGAAAGAGAGAGAGAGAGAGAGAGCAAAAAAGAACGGATAGAAAGTGTGTAAGAGATATAGAGAGAAAAAGTGAAGGAAAAAAGAGAGAAAATGAAACAAAATAAAAGAAGAAAAAGAAAAAAGTAAGAGTGATAGAGAGAGGAAGAGGGAGAGGAAGAAAGAGAGAGTGGGGAGAAAAAGAAACAGCGTTAGAAGGAGAGAAAGAAAACTGTAAGAGTGATAATGTGCAAGGAATCGAGAGAAAGAAAGACGGGAGAAAGAGAGAAAAAGAGAGGGGAAAAGAAAGGCAGGTGTAAGAGTTATAGTGTGTAAAAGAGAGAGAGAGAGAGAAAGAGAGAGAGAGTGGGGGAAGAAGGTAGAGAAAGAGAGGAATAAAAGGAATGAAAAGAAAAGTATAAGAGTGATAGCGTGTGAGAGATAGAGACAAAGAGGTGGGAAAGAGAGAAAAGGAGAGGAAGAAAAATAAGGAAAAGAAAAGTGTTAGAGTGGTAGTGTGTAAGAGAGAGATGAAGTGAAAGAGGGAGAGGGGAAGAGAAAGGAAAAGAAAAAGGAGAGAAAAGTGTAAGTGTGATAAGGTATAAAAGAGAGAAAGAGAGAGGGAATAAGATGAAAGAAGAAGAAGAAGAAGAAGAAGAAGAAGAAGAAGAAGAAGAAGAAGAAAACTAAAAGAAAAAAAGTAAGTAGCTCAGTGAGACTGGAGAAATAAGTTATAAAAGAACCAAAGTATGGGTGCACAGTGGGATAATGGATAGCGGCTCGGATTGAGAAAGCATAGAGCCGAGTTCGAATTTCAGTCGAACCCATTGCACCTACGTGCTAATACGCTTGGGAAAGATATGAGTCCTCTTCTTTTCCTTCCAGTTATGGGTAAATAGCAGGAGAGACCGGGTGCCTTCTACCGCAGAAAGAAATTGCAACCTACTGCGGGGAAAAATCTGCGTCGTCAGTCATGTATCGAAAGATACATGATCGCCAAAGCTTGTATCACGCATGACACATAACTGACTGAATGTATATTTTTCATTTTGAAATACATACATAATGTGCGCGTAGGTGATGCAGAAAGTTGGTTAAATAGCTGGTCTTGGTTGAGAAGGTCAACACTAATTTCAAAACTGTGGCGAAAACAATGGGAAATTACTCCACTATCTTTCCCAGAGAGCCATGGCACTTCATATATAATAAAGAAAAACATTCATTGACCGCCTACGTCGACATAGCATAAAAAAGAGAAGATGCTCATATATAGATATTAAGGCTTTTACTATTAGGCAATTGTATTCACGTAACGTAACAGCTGGATGAAAAATCAAATAAAAAGTATTGTTCATAACTAAACATGCATACAAAAGAAAGACAAATTGAGCAGAGGCTGTAAAAAAATTGAAAAAAAAGAAGGAAAGAAAAAGAGACAAAGACGCTGAGAATATATATATATATATATATATATATATATATATATATATATATATATATATATATATATTGTGTTCTGCAAAAACAGAACAAAACAAAACAAAAGAACGAAGGATCGGTGGGTGTATTTCTAGAAGATAATGCTTTTAAGGCAAACAGTCATTGTAATAGAAGTGCTTCATGCTTAGAAATAAATTAAATAAATTAAATACATTGTTCAAAACTTATATCCCTACTTAAATTTCGCAGATAATTTCATTATATAGTTAAATTGAAGTTATTTACAGATATATATCTTTAAGAGATTTATATAAATCAGTTTCTGTTATATATTTTCGTATTATTTCTTTCTTCCTTTCTTTCTTTTTACTTACTTTCTTTCTTTTTTCAATTTCTTATCTTGGAGCCACGTTTTCTATAAGATATACATAAGATATATTTCTTCACCACCAGGCATTTATCGATCTTATAGATAATGTCATCCGACTCCAGGTGTCGATATCGACCACTTGGGGATACCATGCAGTAGAATATTAAAGAACCTAAAAATGCTCAATATTCGCATATGTATGTAAGTCAGTTCGAAAATAGTCCTGGATATGACGATAAACTATATCCTGCAGCAAGGCCTTTAATCGGGAGATTGAAGGTTTTGAGGAGTGTAGAACCGCTTCTTAATTGCTGTTGTTCCCAGATCCACCCTGACCCGCGGTGGTAGCATATTTTAGGGTGTTCCAGCTGTGGGCAAATAGTGAACCTCCAAGCAAAAACATAGTAAAAATACCAGCAATAGATTTTTATATAAAAAAATTACTAACAATACCTCTTTATAGTAAAATTACCAACAATACATTTTATCTGTAATTGAAGGCATCATCCGGTTCACACATTTCCCCGGTCTACTGATCAGTAATTTATCCCTTGTCCTCTGATTATGATAGGGTTTCCGGTTCCTTCTAAAATCTGCTTCAACTCTATACTTCTAACGTCTTTAACTAAAACTTTTTACTAATTCACTTACCCTTTGTTACGCTAATACAACTCTACACAGTAACCCTCTACCTTGCTCTCGGGCCTTGTACTGGGTGAACATTAGCAAAAAAATTGCATTCAAAATACTTAGGTTTTGGCATTAAATGACCCAATAAAGTGTTGATATGCAGCTGAACAAAATCAATTACCGTTCGAAAATGTCGAACACATAAATATTATTATTCTATCTATTTTATAGTAGTATTATTCTGACATAATACAGAATTAGGAAAATCCTTGACCCACGTACAACTTCTTCAACTAGAGGTTGTGTCAGAAGAATTACAAGTCAATTTTAAGAAAACTGTGTCATATATGTGATACTATCAACGAAAGGGTGAAATTATTACATTAGAAGAAAATTAACTGAAGCAAGTAAATGACTTTGTGCTTGTATTCAGTCAAATGAAAAGGACATGAATATAAAGACTCTCGTATCCACATGAATGGCGTTGGTGTCTATGATCGCGAATATCTCTCACTGGCAAGGGAACCGTCTCTTGTGTTTCTTGTTCTTACATGTGCTTCCAACATAACTATTAAACTCAGTTATCTCTTCTTCCTTTATCGTCCTTCTTCTCGTGACTGTTGCTTGCTAGATAGAATCTCTTCATGATAAGGCGCTCTCTCTACACTCATCTGCAAATATCTTTGTGTTTGGCGAATTCATTGTACATCATGTTAAGTAGCTTCATCACTCTAATGCCACTGACATCTGATAACATAATATCGGGGTTATTGCAGTGGTATATCGCACATGCATAAGTGTCCCTGCAAGGACTGCCGGTGAGCAACCCTGACTCCATACTATGCCTGCAGTCTCCGCCAATTTTCACCCTTGCAAATATATCATGACCAAAACAAATAAACCGCATAAAACTAAATCAGCTTGCAAATAAACACCTAAACCTTTCTCTCTTCAACATTCGTACCAATTTCTGTGATGTAGAATCGTTTCTCTTGGAACGTTCTTCAATCATCCTAGCTCTCTTCGAAACTAATCTGAACTCTTATGTTCTGTTCCTGGCTATTTTCTTCTCTTTCAAAAGGATTCTAGTGTCTATGTTCGTGAACATCTTCCACTAACAAGGGAAATGTCTCATGTGTTTCGGGGTTTTCTTACATGTGCTTCAGACTTTCACCATTAAATCAGTCAGTTATTTCTTTTTCCTTTACTCAAATATTTTATATATTTTCTCTTTTCCAGTAAATGTACTCTATTTATTGCATTTATTTTTATTTAAGCAGGGGTGATTTTATAAAAGGCGGCTGCTGCTGCTAATGCAATGCTCTTCTACTCGAATTGAGCTCTCCTTGCTGCTAACGTCTTTTGGATAGTAAAAACGTTAAAATTTCTCTTCCGCTCAGCCGTGCGACGATATCGTGGGGGTAAAATCTCTGACTGATTCCAAATCGGTCGGGTTTCGATCCTGGCTTGAAGCAATCGGATATCAACCACACTGATGAGCTATGATACAGCGAAACAGTTTGTGGATGACTATATATATATATATATATATATATATATATATATATATATATATATATATGTGTGTGTGTGTGTGTGTGTCTGTTTGTTTGTTTGTAGGATGCATAGTAAGATCAGAAACAAAAGTAAAAGATAATGTGACGAAATGGAAAAGATATAAACAACGCGTTTCACCGAGAGCCTCTGCTCTTTCTGGCGTCATCAGTTTAGAATGAAAGAAAGACAAAACAGTATTTAAGGAAAATGCGTTGGTACGTCTGAGTATAAGTGGGGACCATAAATCAATTGACCTTATCCATCCCTGACCATATCTCAGAGCTGTGTCCCTTCAAGAAGTGGGCGACCATGGCTCTCAACAGATTACTTTGTTTTATTATCTGCGAATTGAAAAATATAGTCCCATTACCTTTTCTACGTCCTCAATTTTATTGTCCTTCTTCTAGAGTATCTGTCACTTAAGGTTATAGCGAGCCCAGTGTTTTATGTACTGTCTCTAGGATTTTAGAAAATTTGTATAATCAGGCTCCTATGCTCTCATAAATTGTTTTATTATTATTCTATTTTTACCTGACACATTTTTTACACATAATATTCTCTTAAATTTCTAACATTTAATCGAAGACCTGTTGCTGTTACTTCCAGACACTTAGAGCGCATCGAATTTGGCAAGCAGGTTGGGGCATTGACCTCAGTTGGCGTCAAAGTTGATTATTTTAAACATTATTGATTCTAAAGTACGTATATACACAATTATTCGGACTTATTTTTAAAATTATTATGGTTACTACATGTTGCCATAATCGGATATGTTTAACTATTTAATTTACGTTTTGGTAGATAATTTTATTTCTTCACATCCACTTTCACTTTGTTGATGTTTACGTGTACATATTAATTCAAATAATGCAAAAATGCATATATAACTTTGATGAAAAGTAGCATTTTCTGAAAGTGTTAACAAAAACATATATAACCATATGTTAAACAATTTGTTTCAGTTATTTTTTGATTTCATGATTTGGTTCTTAGGAAATCGTGTAGCACTATTCTCTATGGGAGGCACTAATAGACTTGAATTGTAATAAAAAAGAACCCACATCAACACATAGAAACCTATATAAATAAACTTATGCGCAGACTAACATACGAGTATACTGTCAAATATGAATACTCTCGCTCATGCTGAGGCATTATTTAACTATTAATTTTTTTCCTATTAAATCGCAAGACCTCAAACATCGTAGCGGTTCAGGTATCAAATTATTTTGAAATGTCTCATGCATGATATGTAGAGTATCTCTTATGTGTTCCGGTTTGTGTGACTTTTTTTTTAATCAACATTTCGACTGCAGGCCTACCGGAACGTTTTCGGTCTTCCGGATGAAATTTTCCCTCTGAACATAGCGAACCACTTATAAACAGCACATTCAGTTATGGCACCAACTTCATAAATGGCACATATATTTCTAGCTATTTCTACTGCGTTATTTTCTTTTCCGGAAATAAAGGGCAGCAAATGACCAAAATGCATTTCATTTTCCTCCATTTTCACTTTTAACATTAAAAAAAAATTTAAAATTCACAACCACAGAGGAATTGAAATGTTACCTTATAGAATATATATATATATATATATATATATATATATATATATATATATATATATATATATATATATATATATATATATGAAAAGTGTATATAAATATAAATAAATATAAGTATGTATAATTATTTATATATTATATATATGGTACTTATTAGAAAGCGCTCAATATCAGAGATAGAGCTAACATATTTGGTTGGATAGATGTGAGTTTGTGACCATACATCGATGTTTGCGTTAGTACGATGAATGACAAAACGACGAAATTTCCCCACCACTTCCACAATAACACCAATACACGCAATCTACATAAACCCAAATTTTTAAAACATTAATCAGTTTGTCTGACGATCGCTAAAGGGAAACCCAGGGTCACAAACTCACATCTATCCAACCAAATATATATATATATATATATATATATATATATATATATATATATATATATATATATATATATATTTATAAATTTCAGGTATGTATGAAACGAAATCACGTGTTCAAACACGACGTATCGGAGAAGTCTACGAATTTTTGTTCCAACCGATTAGGTTTCTACTTTTAACTCGAAAATGAGACGGCAGGCACTAATAGGTTAAGCATTTGTAATGATTAGTGTTCCCCAGTAAGCCAACAGGCGAGATCTGTTAGTGGGTGTTGGTTTACGTTCAGGTAGGTATTCTTTTGATACGGCAACAGAAAGGAACCTTTCCTCCATGAAAAACCAGATTTTGAAGAGAGACTGGTTTTCGGATCAAGAATTTACAGAGATTAACCAACAACTCAACACGAGACACCTTTGTGTACAATATTTATGAAGAAACAAACAAAAAAATACGACGAAACCGATGACTCTACCTACAAAAAAAAAATAGATATATAAAAGAAACGTTCGGCAGTGTGAATTCAAATCAAGAATCTAAGAAAAATCGGCTTCAAAAGAAATCGCCACAAAATTCACTAAAATAAACGAAACAGAATGTTGCAAAATAATACAATCAAATTCTCTAGACAGCTTTATTAATCATCTGAGCGACTCCATTCAACTTTCGATGCTAACCTTTAGGAGTGTGACTCATTGCACCTTCTCGGTCTAACGTTCTCAGCTGACATGAAGTGAAAAGACTATATTGAATTCTTTGATAGGTCAACTGCTATGTTGGTTCACTCTGTTGTACTAGATAATTTTTCTCTCCAGAATCCATCTTGCATATCTATAAGTCTACCATTCGTTCATGCTTAGAATATTGTTGCCACATATAGTCCGGTTCACCTGCTACATATCTACAGCTCCTTGACAAAATAAAGAATCAGCACTATTATTGGTCCTGATCTGGCGTCTCGGCGTCACTGTCACTTTTAGGTCCTTGAGGACACAAGGACACAAGGTACAGTGGATAAAGGCGTTAGTTAGATCCAGTGACAGGACCCAAAGAGTGTGAGTTCAATACCTGGTTAAGGTAGTGGAGAAATTGGAGAGGGGAATTAACAGTAGATAACTGATAACTGACATCGTTTAGAACAGTCTACTCCAGCTATCGGGATAAAGGGTTCAGTTTAACATGCCGACCACCTGAAGAAGGCCAGAGCGTACAACGACTGAAACGTTGTGATAAATATGGCAACAAAGATGAGGACGATAGTCCGAACAATGTAAATAGTGTACATAATACTTCATCTCAGAAATATAGACTGATATTTAATAAACTTTTAGACTTTAAAAAAATCTATAAAAAGGAAATCACTAGAATCCACGGTTTTGAGTTCAAGAGATCCACTGCCATATTAAAAAAGGTAGGCCAACAATTACACAAGTGCCTGACAGAAAAATGATGCTTTGAGGGAAATACAATTCTGATTAAAATAAAGAAACCTACAGAGCAACAATTACTGATAATTATATGCCTACAAGGTGCGCTTCGATCATTTGGCAAATATTCACAGGATAACTTAACTAAGAATATCTTATTTGTTAAGAAGCTGATCACTCATTACGGAGGCAAAAAAGGCTAGCGAAAAGGAAACGAAAAAACAAGAAAAGCACAAAAGGAATTGAAACAAGAATCTAGTATTGCCATAGATAGGCTATACAAATGCCGACATGATCCAACAATCTTGAATATTACAATGTCTAAGTATATAGTGAAATTAATAACAATTACAAATAAAGAGATATATAAATAGATAGATACATAGATAGATAGATAGATAGATAGATAGATAGAGAGAGAGAGAGAGAGAGAGAGGGAGAGGGAGAGAGGGAGGGGATAATCCTTATCCGCGGTTAACACGAAACATCATCCAAGGAGGTTGCATATTCTTCTTCTTCTGTCATGTCCCTTCAGTGAGCGTGAGCGACCATGATTCTCCATACCTTCCTTTCCTTTAAGCAATATTTGCCGACATATTATCCCACCAAATTCCAGTTCTGCTTATCTTCAAATTCGCCAAGCCATCTTCCCTTATTTTGTCCCCGAAACTTTCACTACCATTTTCTAATTTTAAACGTTACTTGCATGCTTCCTCAGTAGAATTCTCAGCATCCTTCTGTGGAACCACATCTCTGTTATCTCAAAACTTTCAGTTCGATATGTGAGGACTAGTATTACATTGCTGTTCAACACTCTCTTATTTGTTTCTAATGAAATTGTCCTGTTTCTTAATACATTGCTTATTTTCTGGATTTCATCTTTGGCTATTTCACTGTTCCTTTGCATTTCTACATCAGTTTTTTCCATCGTCTGTTATAGCACTTCCCAAATAATTAAATTTCAGTACCTATTCGATTTTGACATCTCCAATTTCTATTTATCTTAAAACGTTCTCGTTGCTCCCATACTCCTCCCACTTTAGACTTAGAATTATTTTATACGCCGTGTCCCTTCAGGACATAGATCATCATGGCTCTCCACTTCTTCCTGTTCCTTGTAGCTCTCAATAAGTTTGGTTATTTCTCCCAGTCCCTGTTGCGCCATCCACTTGCTTAAGTCCGTTAAGTATGTCACGCGTTGCTTTCCCTTGTCCCATATTCCCTCTATCCTCCTTGTGAGTATAAGAATTCCCAAGCCCTCCTTTCTCATTACGTGTCCCAGAAATTTCAGCTGTCTCTTCCTGCATAAGTTTCCTCTTTGCATCCTCTTCAAAACCTCATCGTTGCTCACATCCTAAGCATCCGTCTGTAGAACAATTCCTCCGTTGCCTCGAGTCTTTTCTTCATCTTAGAGGAGACCACTCAACATTCGCTTTCGCAAAGGAAGACAGATATAACCTAGCTCTGGCCTTCTTCAAGTAATATTTCTTGGAAATTCGATCGAACACTTTATTTAATTATGGGAATAGATTGTTCTAATTCCCCGTGCCAGGCCTTTGGATGCCTCAGTTTTAGTTAATTCTCCTTGATAACTCTTCAAGTTTTTATTCTCTTCGCTTAGGCCAGGGATTGAACTCATAATTCTTTGGCTCAAGTCACTTTTTTGGATCAATCAAACAACGCCATATGTCTTTGGGACGTGGAATTACAACAATCTACTCGCGTGGATTAAATAAAATGTTTGGTTCAAAATTTCAACAAATTTTACCTGAAGAAGACCGGGGCGTACACCGGCCGAAACATCGTGAATGTGACAGTAAAGATGAGGACAACAGTTTGAACAATGTACATAGTTAAATACTTACTCTCAGAAATATAGACATCTTGATCTGAAGAATTTATGGAACGTGATGGTGACAGCCGTGCTAGTAGTTACCGGAGCACTGGTAAAGAGACGTGGGCAATCAGAAATTAGGGAAAGAATTGAAAGCATTCGGACAAAAGAATTACTGAAAACAGAATATTCAGAAGAATATTGGAAATTCGAGAAATTTACTGTCACTTAATCTCGATATTAAACCACTATTTACTACTCGTGTAGACACTTAATGAAGAAATAAAATAATTGTTTCCATTAAAACTAGAGAGAGAGAAAGAGAGAGAGAGAGAGAGAGAGAGAAATATAGAGATAGATAGATAGATAGATAGAGAGAGAGAGAGTGAGAGAGCACAATAATAATAGTAATGGATTTATATAAAAGGGATGGTCGAAAGAAACTTCTTGAATATTGATGGCCTGATATCAAAATACATCAGTTCCATATTGACTGTAAAAAAAAGCGCTTTGTGGGGTTTGTTCTAAATACATTCTTGACCTACATAAGTCATTGCTAAATAGGTCATAAGGTGTGCGAAAGCATTTATTGAGAAAACCAATTTATGTCAGTTCTTTCTAATAACACAATAATGTTCCGGGAGTAGCGTTAAATAACACAGTTGCTAATGTATGTGCGTATAAATCACAGACGTGAATGTACATCAAATGGCTTAATAGCCAAATACAATTTTTGAAGCAGAAGAAAGAAGCAAAGTTTAAGCTTTTATGATTTTTTCTTTAATGTTCGATTGCAAAACAACTAGAGAATATATTCGTGCACATTACTACTTTTTCCTTGATCTATCTATCTATCTATCTATCTATCTGTGTGTGTTATATGCGTATTCTAGTTTGATATTGTGTATGTATATATGTGGTATGGGCGAAAATAAGATTATATATATATATATATATATATATATATATATATATATATATATATATATATATATATATATATATGTATTCAACTTTATAATAATTTATTTCAATTACAAACAAATTACATGTTTTTCCCTTTAATGTAATTCCCCTCAAGTCTAATGCATTTTTCCATCCTTCTCTGCCACGCTTTCTATGTACTGCTGGAAGAATTCGTCTTGGAGGACACTCAGCTCTGCCGTTACGGCCCTCTTGATGCTCTCCACGCCTTCAAAACGTACCCCTTTCGTGATCCCCTTAAGCTTAGGGAAAAGAAAAATGTCAAAGCAAAATCAAGTGAATAAGGAGCTTGTTCCAGTTCGATGCTATAAGATCAATACAAAAGTTGCAATTTTGTTTTGACACTTCTGACAAGACACCAGCAGTGACTAAACAAAAATTATGTATTGATATTATAACATGCATGTTATAAAGTTGAATAAGTATTAGCTCTACTCCATATTGAGCATTCTTTTTTAAGAATAGTATTTTTGGTTATTAGAATTTTATTTGTAAATAAATTGTGTATATATATATATATATATATATATATATATATATATATATATATATATATATATATATATATATATATTATCACGGATATCTACCACAAATCTACAGACACGCAACAATATCTTCATTTCAAGAGCTCTCGGCCAAAAGATGTCTGAAATCCATCCCGTATTCCCTATCAGAGTAGCTGATAAACACTTCCGAAAAACCCGCGAAGAAGAATTATATAAAACTATCAAAAACGAGATTACCCAACACAACTAATAAACAAAGGTTTTGAAATAGCAGAAAAATATGTTTAAGCCAACCACAAAACCCAAAGAAACGCAACAAAGAACAAATTCTAGCAGACGTCTCAACATACAAGAACAATTAAGAATTATTTATAGAAATAACAAGAAATTTAGACCTACTTAACAAGAATGATAAAATGAAAGAAAAAAAAATAATTAAAAGCAAACGCTATTCAAAAAAATCTAAAACACATATTAACCGATGAAGATCACAAGATCCGAAACACGTGTAGCAAAAAACATGGAAAATAGAGTATGATATATATTTAAAAAATCCATATTAAAAAAACGTTTGCGGCAACTCTTTTCTCTTATATATATATATAACTTTTTAGACACACCTTGTACACACACACACACACACACACACACACACACACACACACACATATATATATACAAGGTGTGTCTAAAAAGTAATGAGACTGGTGCCGCAAACAATTTATTTCAATTACAAACAACAAATTACATGGTTTTCCCTTTAAGGTAATTCCCCTCAAGTCTAATGCATTTTTCCATCCTTCTCTGCCACGATTTGTATGTAGTGCTGGAAGAATTCGTCTTGGAGGACACTCAGCTCTGCCGTTACGGCCCTTTTGATGCTCTCCACGCCTTCAAAACGTACCCCTTTCGTGATCCCCTTGAGCTTAGGGAAAAGAAAAATGTCAAAGCAAAATCAAGTGAATAAGGAGCTTGTTCCAGTTCGATGAGTTTTTTCTCGGACAGGAACTGCCGGATAATCAGAGCGTTGTGAGCAGACGCATTGTTGTGATGAAGCAGACACCATTTGTCCTGCCACAAAACGTTAAAAAAATACCATGATTGCAGAAAGCTAAGATTTTCAGACCCACCTCGTATATATATATATATATATATATATATATATATATATATATATGCGCGCGCGTGTGTGAGTGTAATTCGCAAGCAGGACTGTTTCACAGCTCCTCAGTGCGATTAGACATCTAAATGCTTCAAGCCATGATTGAAACCCAACCGATTTGATGTCAGTCAGAGTTTCTACCACTGAGCGAGCTATCTATCTATCTATCTATCTATCTATCTCACAAAATCGGAACTATAGAAATAACTTTAGACTGAACCAAAGCCAACACATAACAAACACGTACCAAGGACAGAATAACAATGCAAAAATACACAATCACAAATACAGCAAAATAAAAAGTAGACATTAGAAACAATATCGAGAAATTTCACCTTTAAATTCATTTTTAGAGAGAGAAACCAGAAATGCATGGACACGGGATGGCCCACAGCCATGAAAACCCGAAAGTAATCAACCTTTCACAAAAATAATTAATACCCACACTAATAGACATCCTATGTAAAACACTAAAATTCACGCTAATACCCCAAAAAGTAAATGTAGCAGAAATGAAGGATGATGTTTCGGAATTCTGTAGAAGACTCAGTCTAGCAGAACAATTTTTTTTGAAGAAAACAACGATAAATCGCTAGTAAAAAACAATATAGATTATCAACCCACAAAAGGTAAAAATTGCAATTCTTGATGAACTCTGTAATTACATCTTTAAGTTCCCCTTTGACAAACTGGAAATGCCACAAACGAAGTCCAACTTCACCAGACAACAATGGAACCAACTAAATGGACAAAAATATTGTTATAAAAGAAGCGGACAAAGGAGGCGTAGTCATTATTATGAATACAAAACGGTATACAAGCCTTATACAAAATATGCTACAGGATGATATCTACTATGGAAAAGTCAGAGAATAAAGTGATGAAAAAACTCATCAATTTTTGAGACGCACCGTCTAAGCAATTTGTAGACATCCTATTGAAACCTCTTATCAAACACGTTCGGAGCTTCATTTGCGATGATCCTGATTTTCTGAATCCTCCTCCCAACGTGGTAAACCATAATACTTATATGGTCACAATGGATGTTCTGAATCTATATCGCAACATCCCACATGAATATGGCATAGAAGCCATTAAATGCTTGCTAGAAACGTTTTCCCATGAGCTAACAAATCGTATCAAAGGAAATTTACATAGAAATCCTTGGATTCATCTTAAAAACAACTATTTCAATGAAACACCCTATCGACAAAAATCAGAAACAGCCATGGGGACAAAGTTTGCACCAATATATGCCAACCTAGTCATGGGATACTGTGAACTAAAAATCTTTTGAATGAACCTCGGAAATCTATGGGAATGACTTCAGTTACAACATAAAGGAAAACTGGAAAAGATATCTTGATGATTGTTTCATTCTGTGGAATGAAAATCTGGATAAACTGAATAAACTAAAGACATTCCAAACATAATATAAATCCTAAAATTTTTAAAATGATCAGCTTTCCGTTTAACATGGTCACGTTGTCGTCACATGGGCGACGCTTTCAAAACGTATTCCTAAAAATTTGTGATTATTTTGAAATGAAAAAGAAAATGAAAAGAATTCTATTAGGATCTAAAATTTTTTATGTGTATGCTTGCCGAGCATTAATCTCGCTAAAAAAGGGGAAACATTAAAAATTTTCAGTTATCTGTTTTGGATAAGACTTGTTTTTTATGTCCATCGTCTTTGTGAAATCAAACTGAATTGTATTTTAATGAATATTGTCTTGAAAAAGGTTTATTAAACCGAAACGTCAGACGTCGACATTTCATTCATTTTAAACATAATTGCATTTAAGGATTTTTGTTTGTTTTTTCCAAATTTTCTTCATTCTGTCGGATTTATATCCATTTACATTTGCTTACATATATATATATATATATATATATATATATATATATATATATATATATATATATATATATAGAAAGAGAAAGGATAAGAATTTATATAAATATAAAATTGTCACTTGTCGAGTGAGCTTCGGAGATGGACCTTCCAGAAATCACCCCGTCCGAATGTCTGTTTATATTTCTAGTTTGCACTTTTCATTGGTGCAAGGTTGATTTTTTTTTGTGTGTGTGTGCTTGCGAGTGCGCGCGTTCGCCCGCATGCACGTTCACGCGTTCGTTTGCGTGTATACGTGTAAACGTGTATTATGGCGTGGTTATTTCTCCTTTTCGTCACATATTTTTTACTTTACACTCACTCATTTATATTTTACTTTCTCGCTCTTTTTCTCTTTTCTTACACTTGTAACTGTTTTTGGCATCCGGTAGGAGCGCCCCTGTGTTCAATCATAACTGTTGGTTGTAAATGCTTGAATTTAATGGGGTTTACAAAATATCCCATACATGCTAAATGGGATGTAAATCTGGCGAAAGCTGGGGCCAATGGAGTACTGGGAAGTCAACCGAGTGTTTCTTGAACCCGTTTCATGTAACACAATGGTGCTGGTAGGTGTTCAGTTATCTTGTTGGAGAAAATATAATGGAGCACAGATGGTATGTAATAAGCTGTCATAACTTTCAAGACAGACTGTAGTTTCACTAGTGAACCTTCTGAATTCCAACGAAAGCTTACACGAAACCCTACCGACAGACTGGATCCGTAACACCACGCGGTATTCCTCCACACACAAACTTGAAAGTGATGGAAACTAGACTTGTCTGACCAGACGACAGGGTATCAGTTTTCATTAGTACAATACCGATGTTTGCTGGCCAGTTGAGTCTCAGTAGTCGATGCAGTGTTGTCAGTAACTCTTTGACATTCACCGAGTTCGATGTCTCGAGTTTCTTCACCTTGCTAATTTTTTGAGATGCTTCGATATTGACACCTGACACCCATTATCTGAGATATTTCTTTGACGCTTAGACGTGTTTTGTTTTCGAATAGTTTTTTTTTCTGATATTGAATGTAAATAGCAGATGTGTTGTTCATTATGACGGTCGTCTTCGAGTATATAATTCAGAGGTTAGCAGTGAATATTTCGAAGACAGTAGGAAAGCGTTGTTCAGGTTAGCAGTGGATATTTTGGTAA